ATATACCCATAATATAGCCATTATATAGACCATTATAGGGTAGGGTTCCCCATTAAGGGTCCCTCATTTTTCCCCTTTGATCCAACTTTCTGGTGATCACTTGGAGGCCTAAACTTCAATCCCCATCCCCCGAAAAGCCGCAAGGCCGGATCCTCAGTGGGCTTCCTTAACCCTAACCCTTTTTATGTAGACCCTGATTAATCTACTCGCTGAAGAAGGGATTATTATAGGGTTTTGGGGGCCTAGGGTTATAATAGGGACACGTAGGGACCCTAATGTTACCTCAAGGAAGTGGGGGGTCCGGGACCAAGATCATTGGCATTTCGGAGCCTTGGGGGAGCGATCAAGGTATCTTGGCGTTCTTCTGGTTGGCTCTTATAGGACTTTAACCTTTTGGATTTCTATATGAGCTATAATAAGGAGGCTAAAAGTTTAACTTTTTGGAGGGGTTCAGAAGTCAGCCAAGGTATGTTGGAGTTCGGGCATTAGTTCGGGTGGGGTTTAGGGTTTCCAGTTGCTTGATGTTGCGAGTTCAGAGTGTAAGGACCTCTAAGCTACGCGTCACGGCGGGATTCTACCTTAGACGCGCCGCAACATATATTGCATGGTAGGTTGCTGCCCCAGGACAGCGACAGTATAGAAATTCATGATTGACTGGGCGTGAACGGTTGGGTTCAATGCAGGTGGGAGTTAGGATTAGGGGGACCCTTGGGGATATAGACCCTCTCAATAAGGTCCCGTTTAAGAGAGCCAGGCATAGGGTTCAGAAGGGGTACCCTTCAAGGGTCTCCCTAATAATACTACCCAGCAGGATTCTATCGCAGCTGTCGAAGTCCGACGACGGTGCGGCGGCCAAATCTGGCCTCTTAAGTTTCGTCATGTGGGAGTTCCCGGAATTGGGGACCCTAGTATAATATAGGACCTTAAATTTGGGGGATCCTTATGAGAAGGGAAACCCCCATAGGATCATGGTGCAGAGTTGAGGGCTGGAGCCCGACCTGTGGTCTCCATTGTAGTTCCTTTTTGGGGGTTACCTTAAGGTAAAAGCCAGAAAGTTGGAATATGATTATCCTAACCCTTCTATGGTAAATTATAGGGTATCCTACCATGAAACCATATTCCAACTTTCTGGAGTTCCCTGTATAGGATCCTTGCTATATAACTGGTTAAACAAAAAAAGGAAATACAATGGAGACTATAGGTAAACCTTACAAAGCCTAAAATGCCCAACCCTTGCTGTCCCAGACTCTGGTGATGCTGGGCTTGAGGGTAGAGTTCGAGGGGCTTGGGCAGTTGGGCTCATGAGCCCTGACCTTACCTTTGCTTAGTAGGGAATGGTAGTAATAGTAGGTACAATTGTACCCCATTCCTTCATTCCCTACTAACCAAGGGTATGTTACAGCACCCTTAGGGAAGGGCTCTGTAGGGATTAAGGCTTCGAGAGGGCCTCTTTCTTTCGTGGTCTAAGGGCTTGCACTTTGCGCTTTTTGTTTACAGTAGAAGCCCAAAAGTTGGAAACCCAATAGCCTCAATCCTTAAGAGTAACGTATAGGGAATCCCAGCACTATTTGGCCTTAATCCGGTTTCCAACTTTATGGGGATTACTGTAAGTCTTTAAGGTAGAGGACATGACGGCCTAGGGATTCAGGACAGTGGTCTTTACCCTAATGGTCCAAGTACCTGCTATAGTCTTTCTTGAGGGCCTAGGGATTCGGGACAATAGTGGGTTTAGGGTTTAGGGCCCTCATGGTCCAAGTAAATAATAGTCTTCTGAATACTAACTTATAAAACTACTAGCTGTAACCCAAGTACCTGATTATTAGGTCCTTTGGACCATTGGGGTTAGGGTTGCAGAGCTTTGGGGTTTCACGCTTTCCCTGTTTACACTTTTGAGGGCTTGGGGCTTTAGGGTGTAGGGTTGTCTGGTTAAGGGTTTGAGAGCTCTAGGTTGTTAGGGGTTTCATGAGAATAGGGCTCAGGGGCTGTGAGTCATGAGGGTTACTTTGTTGTGAGGTCTAGTGTTTAAGGTTAGGAGGCTATAAGTAACGGTTTAGGGGTTTAGGGCTTAAGGGCTTTGGGTTTTCAGGGCTTCAGGGTTTAGGGTTTAAGGGCTTTGTGATGAACTGTTTGGGGCTTTGGAGGTGCAGAAATCACACAGGGTACTTACGACACCCAGTATCGGCACTTTAACCCCTAAACCCCGAGCCGTGAACCCTACAGTCTCAGCTCGAAACCCGAAACTCTGAATTTACTGTCAGATCTTCCGGGAACAGCTTAGTAGTAGAGCAGGTAACCTTCAATCTTCCTATAGCCTCCATTGTAGTTCCTTTTTTGGGGTTACCTTATAGGATCCTTACTATATAACTGGTTACACCAGAAAAGGAGCTACAATGGAGACTATACGTTGTTGGCGTGCTTTAAAATCCCCAAGTCAGTTCCCTAGGATACTGGACAAGACGAGCATGGCCCAGACTGCTGAGTCGTAACTGACAAAAGCCTTGCGTGCATAGCAAAACCCAATGCCTCGGACCAACCTTGCGCCTCTATTAGGGTTCCTTTAAAGGGGTCTAGAAGGGTTAGTATAAGGGATCTTTAAGGGTACTACAGTAATGTAGGAACCTGATTAAGAAACCGTGGGGTTTTATTAAGGTTCCTTATGTGAATCCTACTATTTGGGGGGTATAGGCCCAAGATTTCTCAATCAGGTTCCTACATTACTTACGTTAATTTACTTGGAGGGGCTGGGGGCTCAGTAAGTGGGTAATAAGTAGAGTTATAAGTACCCTAAATGGAGTTACCCCGATTATAACCCTACTTATAAACGACTTACTAAGTCCCCTGCCTCAAGCTACTGGGATGCCCAGTGGTACCCTTATTCCCTGTTTGTAGTCCTAGGTTCCTTATAAAGTTACCCAGCGCCAAAAAGGAAGCCCTTTTTATTCCTAGGTGTTTTCCTGTAGGTTTTTACTGTAAACCCTAATGTGGCATTTATAGGCCTCTACCAGCAAAAGTAAGTTTGGGTAGTTCAAGCTATGGTTCGGGATTTAGGGTGTAGGTGTCAGTGTTCGGAGTTCAGAGTTGTTGGGGTCCTCTGAGTTTAGGGTTTGGAGATTAGGCTTTTGGTGTTCAAGGAGTTCAGGGCCTAGATGGGCGTAGCTGTAGGGCTTATTGCGAATGCCTGACATGACATTGACAATGACCATAGTCCTAGTTTCTATCAAGGCAGCCCGTGTTTTATACCGTATACCTCGGAACTTCGTGCCCGTACCTGTTGGACCAGACTTAGGCGAAGTTGAGACATGTGACAACTTGGTCCAAAGCACCGGATGCTTGTTTGAACCACTGCAAAGATGTAGGACGCGGTGGAACATGTTTGCCAACGGTTAGTGTTGACAATCTGGATACATGAAATCAGGGCATGAAGATACTGATGTTCCAATATTACTTCGATGTTGGAGACTTGTCGTATGATATAGGGAAGGGTATTGTAATTATCAGTCTACCCTCACAGTTCCTTCATATTTTCCATAACAAAGCTCAGCCCCCAAACCCGACTCGGTACTAGGGCCGATATAGATATGAATATAAATATAAGTATAAGTATAAATATAAATATAAATACATATATATATATATATGCATATATATATATATAGAGAGAGAGAGAGAGAGAGAGAGAAAAAGAGAGAGTCGTAGACTCTGCTCTTCCCCGTTTTTCAAAACAACGCTGCACCCCCAAACCTTACTCTAACTGTCAGAGCCGATAGATTATAGAATTAGAAGACTTCTCAATCTTAAGCACTCTGAGGCTTTCTTGTGGCTTCCTTTCCGTCATTTCCACCAATCATTCACGATTGTCAAGGGGGCTTGTTGGTCCGGGTGTTATTCCTGTTCTTTTTTCCTCATGAACGAACGGCTTAGAAGCGTAAGTGTATTGCAGAGGATATTTTGTCGTAGTCTATGTTTGTCGCTCCGCAGCATGCTAGCAGCTGCTAGCATTCATGAGAGGACGTCGAACCACGCAACCGATATTTTGTCTGTGGCACTGTTGCACACACGGAGCCCATGTCTGTGTCAATCAAGAATGGGTTTGCAAATAAATACATCTGTACATATATATATATATATATGTATGTATATATATGTATATATGTATAAATGTATATATGTATATGCACATATATATATATATATATACATTTATATCCACATATATGCACATATGTATTCACCAGGAACAGCTGCATCTTGGATACCAGCTTGTGCAGGTTTGGACGGGGTATTCGAAAAATGTTTGTTGACGTCAGGATGTTTTTTTTGCAGTGTTTGGTGCAGAAACCTGCTCCAAGCCGTGTTGGACATCACAAACAAGGAATGGATTGCTGCTCAGCTTTGTTCGATGCTGATCGGGCAAGTATGGGGTTCTGAGATGCTCCAGTAACATCCTGCGCCAGTCATAGCATTCAAACAGGGTTTTAAGATGCGACCTCGTTAGCAGTGTAAACAACACGTGCGCCCATTATTCAGAGTTGGCATTCACCAGGAACATGCTTTGCCGACACGGTTCAAGAGGATGACTGTTATTCGACATGTTGCACGCTGTGTGCCAAGCTGAACGCATCATGCAGTACAGCGGCTGCTTTGCTAGGCTCCTCGCCGACCTTTCTTCCATGATCTGCTGTCAGGCTCATATGCATATTCTCTGCCCAGCGTCGTTCTCCTCGCCGAGTTCACGAAGCTGTGGATCAGCTTCGGCCTCAGATTACACCTTCTGCAATAGTCAATACGACTCCAATGATTCTTCGTCGGCCCAACGACCATACTATGTAACGCCTTGAAGCATAGCGGAACCCCGGAATGAGACATGTGGTAAAAAAGATATATATGTGTGTGTATGAGTATAAAGGGATATGTGAATGGCGCTTATACACGCGTAAAAACTGGATGTGCCAAGGGATCCTTGCTAGCGAACTAACTAACCTCCGATTCTCTTCCCTGCCATGGAGCCGCCGCGGCCCTTCAAACCTCAATTGTCAAGTTTTCCGTGTCCCTGCTTATGCCAACGAGCACCCAAATAAGAAGGCAGTCCCAGCTTCAACCCCAAGACTGTAAACATTGATCGCCAAAGTCCTTAGTTGTTTTCAGCCCCGCAAACCCCGACAATTCAGAAATGTCCGCTTCCCAGGCCTGGGGTTTTTGACTGTCGACAAGGGGTCCTTCGCAGAGGCGAGAACCAAGGATGCGAGTCACGAGAGTGATGAAAAGTTTCAGTGTGTGCGTTGGCAAATGTTGCATGGTTTCAACATTGAAGGGTCGTTTTCGCATTTTGCGGTTTGGGTCTGCGCTGCACTGTTGCGGAACACTTTTGGGACTTGTCGTTGCAGCTGTTGTGGGCATGGTTCAGGGTTGGAAGTATTCACACAGTTCTGCACAAGAGGACTTAGTTGCTCTTGTCTTCTCGTGGTTGGTGCTCCTATCATCCCTTCGGAATCCCTACTCCAAACCGGTCTACTTCAACATAATTATTCAACAGCTCGGGGACTGACGATGCTGTCAGGCATAGGTCTTACAAGTTATATTGCCCTCAGTATGATCCTTTTTTCGTGGAGTTAAGAGTCAAGCCTGCTGGCAAGGATGTCAGCAAATAGATACTTGTACGAACTATATCCGTCACACCGGCTAGGCCAGCTCTAGGCCCTTTGTGCCACACATCCCGAACTTGAACTCATCTCGGACATGCTGAACTCCACCTCCACGGTCTCATCATCTAGGGCCTACGCACTTACACGACTTAGGCAAACCTCATGACGTTTTCGAAGCTCGCATAACACACCCTAAAGCTTGAAGAATAGAGTTCTAGTCCTTCTAGCAGTATTTGCTCGCTGCATCATCCTATGCAGGACAGGTCTCGTCATGCGGCGGGGGTTCAACAGTTAGCTGTTGGAATGTATGGCAAGAGCATCGGTGACAAGCAAGAAGCTTAAACCGTTGTAGTGAGGTTCCGAAAACAACGGAACAGTGCCAAAACTACACTAGAGTTTCCGAAAGCCCCCAAACCTTCCTAATTATCGGGACACCTAGATTCAAGGTCATGTACATCACATCTGTTAATTAAGGAAGACCCATCATGGGGTCTGCGATTCCGGGACCCAGGATTTTCCTGACCATGCCCCTTTTTTCGATTACAACGGATTTTTTTCACTAGCCAACTTTCGGATTGGGGCTTGGTACAGCTGTCAGGGTTGACTATTTTCCCGCTATGGAATAGCATACCATGTGGGGTCTAGTTTGAATATTAACCTCCCGGTCCCTTCTACCAGATATCACCATGTGAAATTCATGTTGGAAAGCCTGAATCTATTGCTGAGTATCTTGACACAAGAGAAATTCGAATTTAGGGCCGAAGCCATGTTAGGCTGGTTTAGAGCTTGCAGTAGTTTGCAACAACTCATTGTTTTGTGTGGCATAGGTTTCCTGAAGAGATCACAGAGCTGGGGAAACGTGTGTTGTTTTCAGGTACCGCGGTAAAAAGAAGCGCTTGACCGAGATGGCCACCATTCTAAACTTAACACAGCTCATACATGAGTGCTTCCGTAGAGATCACATGCTTGGATCTCCACCACAGTGAGACTCCAAACCCCCTTAAGCTCTTTATCTAAGGAATATACCTTAAACTCCTATCATATGTTAGAATCCTGAAACACCTCAGCCCCCCCAAGCCCTAAACCACCAAAATCTCAAACCCCCAACCCGTGCCAATGTTTAGAGGTTTAGGGGTTTAGGGTTTAGGGGTTTAAAGTGAACTCATTGGGTCTGTGAGGCATTGTCCGATGTGACTGGGACGTCGGTGAAGTCGTGGCTGCTCCTCCGCAAAGCGCTACTGGGGGCTTATACGGCCAGGGTTTCAGTTTGAGGCTCAGGGATTTAGGCTTTCAGGGTTTAGGGTTTCAGGGTTTAGGGTCTAAGGGGTTTAATGGGGTTTAAGGGGGTCTATGTCACGGTTAAGGGTTGATGACACATGGGGAGTCCAGAACTCAACAGGCCCCAAAATGAATGACCCGTTTCCCCCACAACACTTGTTAGACTCCTCGACATGACCTTCTGAGTCAAGGAACTTCCAAACAGCAGGCGTCATGTACTTCATGAACCCCTCCTTCTTTTCTACCTGTGAAGATGGAAGGAGCATCTCAAGGCAACGGCGAAAGAATTGAGTCCTTGAACCTTCAAAGTATCATCCCAAACCCTAAGCCCTAAAGGTATCTCATGGAGTTGCAGTATTTACGAGTCCTGGAGTGCTAGAGCACTGGAGAGGGTTATGAACTCGGAGTTCGATGAGGCCCAGACCCCAAAGTGCAGACCCTTCAACCTCAGTACTAGACCTGTATATACCCAAAAACACAAAACCCCTAGACACTAGACATAAGCCACGGCTTAGGCTGGTCTTTGCCCTTCCCTCGGTGCTTTACTCGTGCAAGCCTCAGCCTGTCAGGTTTGAGGTCCATAAGGGCGAGGTGTAGTTTAGGGTTGCATGGGTTCCATATGGAGCTCTGGTTGGTTTGTGGGACTTTGTAGGGGCTACAAAAGTCCACAGGACCCAATAAGTAGGTATTTGCGTTTGGGATAGTAGTTTTGTCTGTTTGTTTATTTTGGGGCGTATATGATCGTTAGGTACTTAGACCCTCAGGGTAGGGGCGAGGTGTAGTTTTGTCTTTGATGGGCTCTTTCGAAGGGTCTCTTCGAAGAATCTTCAAGTGCTTGGGGTTTCATGTTCATTGTAATTAAGGTCTAGGATGCCCAGTAGTACCCTTTTTTTGTTGTAGTCCTCGGTTCCCTAGAAAGTTATCCAATACCAAAAAGGGAGCCCTTTTTGCTACTAGGTTACTGGGCATCTTAAGGTGCATAGGGGACTCTCAGGAATGTTACCATGTACAAGCCCAGTGGGTCCCCTATAATACGATTACGGAATTACAGGTCCCATCAGACCATCCTTATTTTGGTTTGGTACTGAATCCCATAACAGTAGTATATATGAATCCTTTTGGACAGTTTCAGCCTGTTGCGGGTGTACTGCTCGTTAGTTCTCTTGCTGCGAGATACCATAGAAGTGAGTGTGCTTCTTTGCCTGGGGCGCAGGGCTTGTGGCTTTCGAAGGTTTTACGGTTTAGGGCCGAGGTCGCTCCAGTTTAAGGCCCAGGGTTGAATTATCCAGGTAGGGCTTGGGGACATTTTAAACTTGCTCTTATTGGGCTTAAGAGGATCTTAAAGGGCTTTAAAACCACCTCCTAATTATTAGGGGTGGTAAGCAAGTTTGGGGGCCAGTTTGAACAAGTCTACATATATGTCCAAGCTGGGCATCAACCTGGGCACCCCAACCCCAACTTCCATAGATCTCTTATTACAGTCGTAGCCCCTTTAGACCCCTTATAAAGGAACCCTACTCTTAATGATTGAGGCTGAACAACAATCTCGACATGCTGAACAACCAGCATATGGACCCAGCCACTGAACAGGTTTTAGTACAGGCCGGGAGTGCTGTCAACTCCCTCCCTGTAAGGGTACAGGGTTCCCTTGGGGGTTCCGTTGAGGATCTGCTGAGGGCGTTGTAAAACATGAGAATCGAGGTGTGAGGGCTAAGGGGTTTGAGAGGGGGGGATTTACTACTTGGGACAGGCTTTTGGATAGGCATAGACCACAGTAGAGTCACATTATTGGGCTATAAGTGAAAATGTAGTAGGTCATATCAAGTCCCAGGCCCTAGCTGAGTTTTTGCTGATTTTTTCAACACCGACTCTATGTTCATTCGAGATGGAGCACCCGTGCATGATGGAGACATGACCATCTAGGTGTCCAAATTACTCCAGAATTATATCCCAGTTCGGGATAGAAGGCCTTTAGGTTAGTACTTCGGGGAATATATGTTAACGGCTTACTACTTGCTTGAAACCTGACCCCTGAATCCCCAAGCCCTAAACTCGAAGCCTTGATAATCGGGTTTGAGTTTTTCCCAGAAATGAAGGTCTTTGGGTCTAGGGTTGCGGGTTTAGGCCTTGAGTTGAAGTAACTTGGTCTTCCAAGATCCAACCCGAACGACAGCTTCGACACCGTTCACGAAAGTTGAGTTTCTGAATTGGGGTTTTAGGGGTGTGGTTTAGGGTTTAGGGTTTCAGGGCTTGGCCCTTGCGCTGGATTCCGCGAAGCTGTTTGGTGCAATCGTGTGCACCGGCATCATCAATGAAGGGGCGCGCCCGACGCGCTTGAATGTTGCGTTGTCAGAACGTAGGGATTTGCCGGATTGTAGCCACAAGGATGCAGGTCTGTGGGATTTCCTGAAAGACCAAATGACCCTTAAAAGTAGTGGCCATATACCCATATACTATGAATGCCTATATGGTATATGAACCTTAAACCCTTTTAGGGTTCATTTCGTCCTTAAGGTTTAGGCGAAACCATCCGCCGAGCTGACATGCCATGGTTAGCCGGTTAGCCTGTAGGCAGCAAGTTTGGCTACACCTATTCGCCTAAACCCTAAGCCTTATTCGATCTCGGCATTTTTCGGGCAGAAGGTGACACCGTGTTTCTAGGGGCTGATAGGCAAGATGAACAAGCGAAAGACGTCTGAAGACGCAGTTGTTTCTTACTCACCACTCCCAGCGACCCTCCACGTAATGCCGCAGTGTTAAGCAAGCAGCGAGTCCGCTGCAGTTGAGCATCATAGGAGGCCAAAAGGGTTTTAGCCTATGGGGGTTTAGTAGGGATTAGGGTTCCCATAATAGGTTCATATTAAGGAATCCCTACCCCAAGAATCTTAAACCCCCTTTCGGCCTCCCGTCAGAGGAGCAGCTGCAGTTATTCATCGAGCCCTAAGGCTCCCAGCCCCGAAATGCCCAACCTTCACCTAAAACGCCGAGAAGAAGCAGAGGTGCGCAGTAGACGGACTCAGCTACGACCCAGCTGCAAGGGGAGCAGTCTCAGTTCAAGATTCTGAATCGTTTGCTCCTGGGGCTTGGGGCCGAGATTCGAGTGTACGGTCTATGGAAACCGTATAGGGAGTCAAGGGTAAGACGTCGCAGCCTTGCCTTTGTTGTGGCAGAGCGGCCCTCTGCAGCAACGTTTGCTCCAGGCACAAAACGGCAGAGGACGTGTGCAAAGGCTTGAAAATGGGTCTGCTTCACAACCCAAGCTACAATGACGGCATAATGATAAGTACTTGTCTTCCGGAAGGTCGAACTTTTCACTCCGGGCAGATACTTTCAGAGATATGGCAAAGATCGATGGCCGTGTCGACCTTGGTGCAGTCGTGGGTCAAGAAGCTGGTTTGCTTAACTTTGAGAGCCAGTGTGTCGCTGGCGAGGAGGATCTATTGTGTGCAGTTTGTCACGAAGAAGCTTGGCCTAGGAGCTGCACTGTGCTTCACTTATCGTTGCTATGCTTTTTGTTACAGGTCTTGATTCAGATAACAATCTTTTCTAGGTGGCACCTTGGAAAACATTTAAATTTCCCCTGCTAATTCTTGCAGAGGTATTTGTTCATAAATAGTCTTAAGGGCTCCAAACTACAACCCAGTCGTTAATCTTTTGCCGAAGTCCACATTCCAAGTCATCGATGCTTTGTTTTGCACTCATGATGAACTATAACATTTTCCCATATTAAGGTAACTAATATACGACTATAATATACTCTACAGTCTCGATATATACGACCAGATGTTCTTAGATTATACAACAGCTCAGGAAATGGGATTTGGGGCCAAGGCGGCCGCAGTTCCTTGGGGACTCAAAGGACCCGTAAACGTAGGAGCCCAAGACGCTTATGCCAGAACTCCCTACAGTATCAGGAACCGTAGAAGGGCTTAAGGTTCATATACCATATAATAGTATAAGTATATGGTATATGAACCTTAATGCCTTTTAGGGTTCATTTCGTTGTTCAGGTTGTTGACATCCAACGCCATCAAGCTCTTTGCCAGCTGGCAGCTGATCCAGAGAGTGGCGAGATGCTTCGAAGCCACATCATGCACACTTGGTGTGCCGAAGTGGCTGCCGGCATGGGAGCGTGTCCTGCTTGTTTCGAGAATGCCACAGAATCAGAGATCCAGCGAAAACCGCGCATCCGACGCATCGGCTTCGACATCGGAGGGGTCATCGTTCCTTAGGGGTACTTAGAAATAATTTTACTTTTTGGTTATTATAATCTCCAAGAAACAGCTAAAGTTCAAATTGTTGCTAGGGTTCTAAGTTCAGTATAGGTTCCGCACCGGGAAGACCGTGTGGGCGCAGAGGAGGACATCGCGGGCCTCACTCGGGAGGACTACCTGCAAGTGGAGGCCCTAAGCCTACACCCTATGAGCCCTAAACACCTGAACCGTAAACCCTAAACCCTAAACCCTAAACCCCTAAACCCTAAACCCTAACCCGTGGCCGTAAACCGCTAAACTCTTAGAACCTAAACCCCCCAGATCCCCAAAACCCTAAATCCATAAACCCCCAAACCCTTAACCCCCCCCTCCAAAAAAAAAAAAAAGACCCTGAATTCCAGAAGCCGAGGCTGGTCCCGGGGCTCTGGAATCCCTCGCAACTGTAGTGGGCAGCCTCGGAAGTGAGAACCTGGGCTCTTCTACAGTAAACCCCATAAAGTCGGAAAAGGGTTTGAAGGGTTTTAAAGGTTTTAAGGGTTAAGGGTTTAGGGTGTTATTGTTTAGGGCTCTCAGGTTTTACTGTAGGGTTCAGGGGTTGAGCTGTTTAGGGGTTTAGGGGTTTAGGGTTTAGGGTGTTCGAGTTTGGGGTTTATAGGGTTCAGGGGTTGAGCTGTTTAGAGGTTTAGGGGTTTAAAGGTTTAGGGTGTTCGAGCTTGGGGTTTATAGGGTTCAGGGGTTTAGGAGTTTAGAGGTTTAGGGGTTTAGGGCTTAGGGTGTTCAAGTTTGGGGTTTAGGGTTCAGGGGTTTAGGCGTTTAGGGTCTTTTTGTGGATTATAATTCAAGCTTGCATAAGAGGGAGTTTTTTGACCACCCCAGAAAGGGTTTCATTCCAGTTGCGATAGTGATAAGGAGTAATGGTATCGAGTTTTTCACCTACCATAGAAAGGGAAGGACCAATGAAGGTTTCAAGGCACCACAAGGAGGAAGCCATCCTATTTACCGTGCCTATTTACCGTAGGTCCCCCTAGTTGTAACTTAAGCTGAGCTCCTGAGCGCGAACCCAGGAACGTGCACATTATCTCCAAATGTGGGCCTGAAACAGAGGCGAGGACAAGAGAGTGGATGGAGCATTCGGGCTTCTTTGAGCGGACGGGCATTCAGCGGAAGAATGTGCACTTCTGCCGCGATGTTAAGGACAAGGCCCCCATAGTGGCAAAGTTGGATCTGGATGGCTTCGTCGATGATCGCATCGACGTCCTCCGACCCATGCTATCTCTTCCAAGAGTGCGTCCGCTTCTGTTCATGCTGAATCCAGAGGCCAGGCAAGTTAACACACATGAACCCGGGCCCTGACAACTGAAACACTATTTCTTGCGGTTCCCGGATGGTGCTACAAAAAGCCACTGCCTGCTAGTACCTTTGTACTTTTGCGCCTAATGCACAAATCTCCAAGCTGCCTTAGTGCTATGTAGACTTGCAGGGAAGCCAAGACGACCTTCGGGACCCTAGACTCTAAGCCTTCTGGGTTTAGGGTTTAGGGTTTAGGGTTTAGGGTTTAGGGTTTAGGGTTTAGGGTTTAGGGACCCTCAGGGCAGCCAAGACGTTCTTGGACGGTCTCCGGTGTTCTGGATACCACGCATGGAGAAGTTGTCAGGCTGGCAGGGCGTGCTTGCCCTCTTCTAGGATGCCCAGTAGTACCCTTATTCCCTTTTTGTAGTCCTAGGCTCCCTACAAAGTTACTAAATACCAAAAAGGGAGCACTTTTAATTCCTAGGTTACTGGGCATCCTAGTTTTTCAGTGAGAGCACTCGGCATTTTCAGCCCATCAAAAGGGTCCAGCGGATCCTATGGAGAGTGTATGAGGCCAGTTACCCTAAGGGTCCAAAGGACCCAATAGTTGAGTACTTAGGTTTCGAAGAGTGGTTATATAGGTTACTGTTTTGGAGAGTATATGATAATTAGGTACTTGGACCCTTAGGGGTTACCTGTACAGGAGCCAGCGTGATAATCCCCAACGTAACCCCTAACCGCCATAGTACAGCCTTATTGTATGGAACTCCTACTGTGACCACAGTAGAATAAACCGTTACAAACCCTAAGGCTCCATGTAGCCATATAGTATACACTTAGGCCCCAAAGTACCTGTCTAGGAACCCCTTTCAGGCCTAAGCATATACTATATGGGCACATGGAGCCTTGGGGAAAGGGAATTGGTCCTTGCCTCAACTTGTACAGTCAAGGCCCGTCTAGGAGGCCAAAGCACCAAGGAAGCTCGAGATGCCTTGGTCGATGGAATGTACAGAAGGCCAGCGCTGCAGGCACTGAAAAAGAGCGGAAAGCCTGGGCTCCGAAGAATTCATGGTAACTTTAAGGTTTATTGCTGGACCTTTATTAGGGTTCCTTTAAACGGGTCGATAAGGGATCCCTAAGGGTACTCTAACAAAATGTAGGAAACCTGATTAAGAAACCTTGGGCCTTTATTAGGGTTCCTTTAAACGGGTCTATAAGGGTTACTATAAGGGATCTTTAGGGGTACTCCAAAAAATGTAGGAACCTGATTCAGAAACCCTGGGCCCTTATTGGGGTTCCTTATATGAGCCCTACTGTTTGGGGGGTTATAGGGCCATGGTTTCTTAATCAGGCTCCTACATTAGGGTTTCTCAGTGGCACTGCTTGCGGCCAGTTCTTGCCAAATCATCGGTACTGGTGTCATAAGTTGGTCGCACAGACACAATGCTAATCAAAGGCCCATGATCCGAATCGTCCGTTTGGGACAGATAATTTTCATGAAAGCTGTAAGGACCGGTGATACGATTCCACAGAATGGTCCAGATATTGCACCATTACAAAATGCCGTAGTATGCATGGTCTTTGGGAGGCTATGTTGCCACATGGTATTGCATATCCGGACCCTCCTGGCTACCAAGTATGTTTACACCTCCTAATGCCTAAGCTCCAAACCCTAAATCCTACATCCGAACCCCAGCTCCTAACCCACAAACCCCTGTTTTGCGAGCCCCATAGCGGAATCTCTAAAGGAACCTAGCTCGTTATGTCGTAAACCTTTCACACTTCCGGCTGCAAGTTTCAACATGTCAGGTCACCCACCGTCTCGACGGCACTGGCCGTGGTTGGATTTCGGGGGCCAGGGCTCCTTCAAACAAAGCCTTGAAGAGGTTCCTGTAGCGGTTCTAGGAAGGAGCTTTACGGGTTGCTGGTAAAGACTTTAGGGTTTAGGGTTTAGGGTTGAGGTTAACGTACAGACTCCCAAGGCTGATCGGAGAATCACCGAGGGGCTAGAGTCGTTCACCATGACGAAGGATATGGGTCTGCAGAGACTCGCCATTCGCCTGATGGTGAATCATCTGTCCAAGGTCCTCACAATGCTGATGTTCAAGAGGATAGTCACGCGCCACTGATAAGGTGTGACTTCAGCGACGGCGATCCAGGCAATTTTCCACTTGCAGACCTGCAGAATAATCACCCATTCTTTGTACCTGCGGGATCGCAACGTGGAAGAAGCCTGCCAGAGACTCAGGTTTATGGGTGTTGATGAGCCAGCGGACCTCCAGTCCTTGTTCATAGAAGACTTGATGGAATGTGAACCCTTTGGGTATTTGGAATACCTTAAACTAGGATGCCCAGTAATTAGTCCTCTTACCTTTTTGTAGTCCTGGGTTCCCTATAAAGTTACCCATACCCAATACCAAAAAGGGAGCCCTTTCTATTCCTAGGTTACTGGGCATCCTAGTTTAGGTTTGCGGGGTTCGGGGTTTAGGGATGTACGGTTGGAGTTTCATGGTCTAGGGATAGACGTAGGATTGTACGAGTCTTTAGAACTGTGCCTTGAGTCGCAAACATCAGACCCGAATCAAGGGCCTAAACGCCCTAAACTCCACCTATGACCCCAAACCGCACATAACGGTGGGTTAGTTACTTAGTAGCTGGGTGGATACACTTTACACTTTTGGGATAATAACTAAGGTTCTGACCTCATAAATCGAGGGTGGAACCATTGACGTTAGGTTTTTGGAACCCCCAGGCACCCCAGGTTTGAGCCCTAACACCGTTTGCAGTTTGGAACATCGGGCCCTTCTAACCCTAAGCCATCTCCGCGTTTGGGGCTTAAGGTTCAGGGTTTAGTTTAGGGGTTAAGGGCTTAGGAGTTTGGGCTTTAGGTGTTTACAGTTGGGGTTCAGGGTTGTAAGATCCCAAAACACGATGTCCGACACTCCATGGCCCTACCTGGACCGTATGGAAGGTACTGGTTTTCGTTAGGTTTGTAGCTCTTGTCTCTACGAGTGACCTAAGAGAAAACGACCGTTAAACACTGAGAGCTCTCCGAAATTCGGGAACAAGAACATTGCAAGCTCAGTCGACAGGCCAAAATACTTACGACCGGGGTAGTCTGGTGGCCCGGGAGCCTACGACCGAGGCATTTTTGAAGGGCTTGAGATTCCGGCTATCGGGTTTACAGTTTGTCGTAAGGGAAGAAGAATCAGCACCACTATCCACAGTATCCCCTTACAGCCTGATTCCTAATTGCAGCAGCAAAAAACCCCAAAGCCTCGATCTAATGACATTAAGTTCAGACTCCTGTACTGCAGGCTTTGGAGTGAGAGCTCCGTAACCAATATAGCAAGGTCTGAGCTCCCAAGTACCGTACCCTGGTAAAGCTGCACCCTAAACCCTAAACCCTAAACCGTAAACCCTAAACCCTAAACCCTAAACCCCTAAACCCTAAACCCTAAACCCCTAAACCCTAAACCCTAAACCGTAAACCCTAAACCCTGAACCCTAAACCCCTGGAAAAGCTGCAGGTATCATGCAGGCACTTGGGCCCTCCGGGTTTTATGTTTGCTTTCAGCTGATCGGTTTAAAGTTCAGGAGCTTCACACAACATGGGGCCCAGAGAAAAGCCGTAAACACTGGGAGTCCTGATGAAAGGCCCCTCCCGTTTCGGAGTTTAGGTTTTCAACTGGTTTTGTGGGTTCTTCGTACAAACCCTCATGCAGAATTCGTGGGGAGTCTATTCAAAATAGAAAAAAGGTAAGTTTGGGTAGTTTATCGTATGGGTTTGGGGTTTACGGCCGGGCCTTTCGGTTGAAACGGGCCCGAAACCTTGAACCCTACATCAATAACAGATATTTTCGGTTGCTGCAAGGTAACCCCAAAAGAATCACGATGGAGACTATAGGTATTTCCGAGCCTGTAACCCACATAATCGTCACCGCCTCCACCTGACTAACCTTAGTTTTTAAAGTCAAATTCAGAAGAGCTTGTAAACACACACACACACACAAAAAGAAAAATCACATACACACACACACACACAGAGAACCCCTTATGAAGCCTGAAGAGGCCTCTGAAAATTCGACCAAGCACTGTGAATCCTTGTAGACTCTCTCCGAGGTGGGTGTTTGGTCGCGAGATGGGAGTGAGGAAGTGGTGCGGACTGCTTCTGCTCTTCGTCGGCGCGAACCTCAGTCACAGTCCCTAGTCCCAGTGTATACCCCAGAACCCTAGAGTTTAGGGTTCAAAGTAGCAGCCTGAAAGGGAACCCTAGCACGATGGCACAAGGTGCTTTCATACGCTTCGGACCGCAAAGTAGGCATTACTTCTAGACTTCTGACTTTCGGGAAATACAATCCTAAAACCCTACACCCTAAACCCTAAAGCCTTCGGGATCAGGCTACTCCGGATATTTTATGCTTTAGGGGGTCAGGGCCTTTAGGTTAGAGGGTTTGGGCTTCTACTTCAGGGGGGGTTGTAATGTAGGGACCCGATTAAGAAACCCCATGGGGCTTTGTTAGGTTTCCTTGTATGATCTTGTATGAACCCTACTATTTGGGGTTATAGGCCCAGGGTTTCTTAATCAGGTTCCAACAGAAGGGTTTCAGTTGAGGGCTAGGCCTGAGGTTTGGGGTTTTCATGTGGGCCCGGTTTAGGGTTTAGGGTTGGGTATGTATGGAGTTTAGGTTTCGGCTGGTTTGTGCTTGGAAGAGGCTTATGCACCGCGCCGTTCAAGAAGCGTTCGAGGACTTAGGAGACTGAGCTATAGTTTCGGGTTGGCAGGGATTCGAAGGACAAGGATTCAGGATCGAAAAAGGTTTAGGGTTCAGAGTTGAGGGGTTAGGTTCAGGGTTGAAGGTTTGGGGTTTAGATTCAGGACTCTCCGCTACCTTGAAAAGCCTGTAGTTGGGATCCGTAGTTAGTATTTATTAAAGGACCTTTAAGGAAGGGCGTGCATTATGCAGGGGTCTGCATTCCTATGTTCCAGGTTCAGGTGTGGGCTTCAAGGGTTTCGATAATTGGGCTGGCGGGTTCGGGGTTTCAGAGTCCAGGCTTTTAGGGTTCATTTTCGATTTTCAGGGCATGCGTTAAGGTTCTAGAGTCAAGGGTTCGGGCTATAAAGACCCGGACGACTTAGCTTGGGCAGCTCTGCTAATTTCATAGTTGCAGCGCTGTACATTTAGACGCTCGGGTGAGTCTTTCGAGCTACATCGGTCTGCACATCCCAGCACACCTCAATGCGGTTCTTCCGTTCGGTCCGATGAGCAGAGCATTGGACCAAAGGATGAAAACAAGCTGAATCGAACATGTAAGTTCAATGGTAACTAGGATGCCCAGTAGTACCCTTCTTCCCTTCTTCTAGTCCTAGGTTCCCTGTAAAGTTACCCAATACCAAAAGGGAGCCCTACTTATGCCTAGGTTACTGGGCATCCTACCCAGACCTTCCAAAATCCCTTAATTAAGGAATATACCTTAAATTATAATAGGATCCCTAATATGAATTAAGGTATATTCCTTAATTAAGGGATTTTGGAAGGTCTGGGTAGTTATAAGGTCCCGACAAGGTTTACAGCAAAGCCTAGGTGCCGTGTCTGCGGGCTGGCCACAAGAAGCGCCAGCGGAGGGGAAGAGGAGCCTGCCAGAATTCTTTGAGCATACGTTTCAGGCTTCATGGTTGAGGTTGTGGGTTTAGGGTTTAGGGTTTAGGGTTTTCGTTTATAACTCAACAGATGGATCGCCATATCGTTGAGAGTTTATTTCCCAGGCTTGATTTGAAGTTGTGTCGTGTTTGTGCATATACGGTTGGTTGTGTGGTAAACATGCTAAAGTGCTTAGAAGCTGCTAACATAGCCGGAACATCACAGGTTTATTGTCAATTCTGACGACCCTGTCTGTTGGGGTTTGCTAGCGTTCTACAGGGTTTTGCAGAATGTTAAGCAGTCGAACCTCAGTAATAACTAGCACAGCACGTCATTTCTGACCCCCACCCCGAGCCGCCCCGCTGTCCCCCCACAGTCTATGTTGCAGTAGACCTATATCTCGCATACCGCTTATACTTTTCAAGTCTACCAGATTCAGGCCCTAGATTGCAGCATGTCGGATGAAGGGGTAGTTCACGGCCCAGGGTGTAGAAGCTTGGGATTGTGTCGGGTTGGTGTGGCTGCCGAGTATGTGCGGCCGAAGGACGCCTCGAAGCCTCCGCTTCTGCATTCTTGCTACTATTTGCTTAAGAACCCCCCAAAAAAATAAAAATAATAATCCCTATATTACCCCCATAAGGAATATACTTTTTTTAATTTTTGGGGTGTTCTTAAGCAAATAGTAGCTTGCCTTGGGCGCCAGGGAACCCTAAATCTCCAAGTTCCCAGAGACTCCAATACCCCGTAATTAGGGAATATACCTTAAATTATAGTAGGATCCTTAATATGTTTTAAGGAATATTCCTTAATTAAGGGGTATTGGGGTCTCTGGGTTCAATCCCCAAAGTCCACTAAAACCTGAAACCCCAGAAGATAACTACGTCAAGCAGGCCTTGTCTTCCTAAGAACCACCCAGAAGCCCCAGAAGTAAGCTTCGAAGGATGCACATCGACTCGTTCGGCGTGTTTCTGATTCTGATATATGTTTGGGCTGGGCTCTTGGACATCTTCTTTCTTCAGCAAGGGGGGGGGGGCGCAGGGCCAGGAGATTCTTGAGCTGATGGGTCCAGAGGTAGTGAGCATGTCATGGACATACATATTTAGTGTATATATATATATATATATATATATGCATGTATGTATGAAGGTATGCATGGCTGTAAGTATGTATGTACGTACGTATGTAAGTATGTAGTATGTGTACATATATATATATATACACACACACACACACACACATTAGGGCTCGTTAGGGCTATATGTGATTACCCACCAGGTTCCGTCATATTATGTTACTCGTACAGTACATCGTACTTTCTTCTTTAATGTAGTCAGTATGTTGCATCATATGGCTTTGTATTAGATTGTACTATACTGTACTACAGTATATTAGAATGTCGTCTATCAGATTACAGTTGTTCATCATGTCATCGTGTTTTATTCTGTTGTGGTATATTATGTTACCCAAGGCCAGATACTACGTGGAATCATATGACAATATATTGTTCTGATGATATTGTACCAATATATAGCTTATATAATATGTTGCATTATAGTACCGCCTATCATGTTGTAGTGTGTTGCAAGTTCTGTTCTAGTGTGGCATAGAGGAGAATCGATTACGACATATAACCCAGGTTGTTGTTGCAGTCTTGCAATAGACGATATGTTGTAATTATTCATGTTGTGATATGACATCTCACATCGTATCACATCATGTCGTATAATCTCATCCCATCTCATCTCGTTTCATCTCATCTCATTTGTATGTGTACATATATATACATATATATATATATTGATGACCGAGTGACTCAGGGTTTAGATCAGGGGTCTTCAGATTTAGCATGACGGGCTCAAGGGTCTCATTGTGCCTTAAGGTTCCACACCCAAGCCTGAAATCTTGAACCCGAGCCCGAAACCGTCAAACATCAAGCATACCTAAGCCCCAGACTCCTTGAACCCCAGACTCTGAACCCTGTAAACATCCCCAAACCCACTAAGCCTTTATATTGTTGACTCCTACAGCCCTGAAGCCCTTGATCTAAAGCCCAGGTCCTAAGTCTTGAGTATGATATAAGCGGTCGGAGGGGCAAGTGACCTTGGGTAAATACACCCTGTCCCCAAGGCACTAAGACCCTACCGTCAATGCTATACCCTAAACCCTACACTCCTCAATCTTTGAACCCCTAAGTTCTAAGATATTTTAAGCCCCTTAAACACCCAATCTTCAAACCCCTACACCCCTCATTCTTTGAACCCCTAAGTTCCAAGATCTTTAAACTGCTAAACACCTAAATCTTCAAACCCCTAAACCCTTGAATCATCAAGCCCCTAAACCCCTAAATCTTCAATTTAACCCCCTAAACCCTGAACCCGAACCCTCAACCCCTAAACCCTGGGTTCAGGGTGCAGGGTTTAGGGACCATTCCTGGGATTCAGGGTTTGTCGGGTTCCCGGTTTGGGAGCTTTGTCGGATGAGGGTTGAGAGTTTTACAATCCGATCCGGGAAGCCTGCTGCTGATGAAGCGCAAACATCCCGAAGACTGCTTTCTGACGCGGAGCCGGAGATAGCTTTGTTTTGCTTGGGACTCATCCACGCAGGCATGCAACCCTTGGTTACCTGCGCTTGCAGAAGACGCTTACATGACCGGGTAATTTTTTTTTACTTCCACATGTTTGCAGATCCATGCCGCGAAGATGTCGTTGTCTGCATACGAAACACCTGTGCAGAGCTTTGACTGCTTGCTGCAAATCCAGGCTTGGCTGTGGAGCCCGGGCGGCTTACCCGACTGTTAGACGGCTTGTTGCGATAATCATTGGGCATTCGGTATTTTAGTCCAAGCTTTAACACTGCAAGCCCGCAACCAAGCAACTTGGCCGAATGTCTCCGAACCATAATTCAGAAATCTGAAATCCCAAGGCCCCGAGAAAACAAAAGCTGAGAATGATATCGCAAACACACGCCGCCCACACGACGCGGGATTTCCAAAATAGCGTTCCAGACTTCCAGACTCCTAAGTTTGGCAGCAGCATCCGGAAAACATTCAAAGATCAGTTCTTGGCACTGAAGCCCCGCTGCTTGCAATGACCAAGCAGTCAAGGAAATACTTAGGTTTGTATTGAGGTGGGCCTGTCCTCCCCATTGAAGTTGTATGCACAGCGGCTCGAAATTTATGTGGTGCAACATCATCTTCCTAGTGATGTAGGCAAGCCCCTTACGGTTCAAGGCTTCCTTGAATCGAGCATGTAGAAGTTGAGCCCTGAGTTCGGCAGCATATCCGCACCAAAGAAGCCTATTGCAATCCACGACCTGTCTGGCATCCTTGTTACATCCACACAGAGCTTCACGGAGGCTGCGTATGCATGACCCTGCGTTTGTTTTCGAGGTGGTGGCCGGTCGTGTCTACGTTGCGCTCCTATCAAGCCTTGCGATATACGCTTCGTATGGATACAAGCCGCGGGTTGGCTTCGGTCTAAACACCCCAAAGCGTAAACCTCAAATCCGTAAACTGCTATGCCCCGAACAATCGTAAACCCGCGGCCAGAGGCCATCATGTCGAACGGAAGCTTGCGATTTCATGGCTTGAGGTTTGTGTTAAATTTAAATTTAGCGACGTTTGGAGTGGGTTGAGAGTAGGTGCCAACTCCAAGCCCGGCATCGGTATTTTTTCGCGAGTTCAAGGTCTCCGCGTCTGCAGGCGTCTACAACGAATGGCTTTACAAGAACTTTAGCAAAGACGAAAATATTCACTCGTCCGCGGCTCAGACCCGTGCGTATACCGGGATGTCGGCATGCCATGAGTTCAGCCGAACAACGGCAACTACAGGTTTCATAACGGAATTTGGGGCCAGGCGTTATTTGCTGGATAATGAAACAACAAGACATCATAACTGTGTTCAAAAGAGCACGAATGTTGTATAAAGTCCTGCACCTCCTTTACAAATGTAAGGTGTGGTAGAACATGCTATGCAGTAATGCCATCTTCGAATCGTAGCTATGGATGCACGAGGTTGTCGCATCACTGCGCAAAGAAGGAAGGTGCCATGTAACTTCGTGCAATTTTTAGACATTCTGGTGTTGGAGGAAGCGCTGCCAACAATAACCCTTAATTCCTCCATCCCAAGCCAAACTCTATGGTAATATAGTGCAAACAACCCATGGCCGTAATCCTGAAGCTAAACCCTGAACCTCAGACCGCGAGGAACACTGGCTGCGAATGGAAACACGATGTTGAGCTGGCATAGAACCAGGAATGTCCTACTAGATTCGTTTACGTTGCACTAGTCTTGTATTCAGACTTGGGTGTAATATTTTGGAGACCAGGTCTTGACGCGGAGGCGGTCAGAACGAGGGTTTGTCCCGCAACATGGCTTGGCGGAGGTGCAATGTACGACTCTACATCATCGGCTGTGCAGTCAATCTGTCGGCCCATCTTTCTCGAGATCCAAGTGCAGCCGGGCTCTCTAGGAGTTCGGATTTAGGGTTTAGGGTTCAGGGTTTAGCGTTTGGGACTGTTGTCTTCCGCTTGTATTCCGATAAAGTTGAAAATTGAAGTTTTGGAGGCCCTTATAACCCCAATCCCTGCGAGGAATTGGGTCTCAAAATCCCCGGTCCTCTGGAACTCATTGGCCTGGACAGGGCTTCGGATTCATGGTTTAGAGAGTTAAGGTTTGGGACCTTTAGAACTTTAGGATTTAGTTGCAGAACTTTTGTCGGTACTTGCGGGTTCCGTATTATAACTAATATATACCACGATTTAACCCCCAAGACTCCACTCTAATCACTAAGGCCCTATACAGGGTGTGTTAGGGGCGAGCCTGGGCTTTACAGTTTAGGCTTCAACATTTGGCCGGTATACGGTGCGAGATGGGGCTTGAATAGAGTTTAGCTCACCTTAAGCCGGAATAACCCCTTTAAAGACTTATATAAGGAAATCATAATTCGGAACCTAAAAAGGTAGGTTATTCAGGCTTAAGGCAGGTCTAGTTTAGGTTTCAATTTGGGGGCTTAGATGAGAGTGTGTACCTGTTTTTTTTGTGGCGATGAACGGATAAGCACAACAGCATCTCTATCCAAACTTCCCAAGTTCCTGAAACCTGGCAACAAACCTTGCAGGCTGTAGGGCTAGAACCCGCGGGCACTAAGCCGTCACTATAGGTCCCTGAGCTGAGTGGTGCCCTTCTGCCTTGAGCGTTGAGAACTGAAAAAAGGACAACTAGGAAACCGACAGTTTTTTTTGTGTTTAGCTTCCATCATGTTGGGCGGCGTGTAAGCCAGGAAGCCGGCAGCTCAATATTGAATGTGCATCTAATCATCGGGTCGGTGTGTTCTGCTAGTGTTTATTCCGTTTGTCCGCCGAGGTAGCTGGCTTGCAGAGTCTGTCGGCGCCTTAGCACCTGGGTTAGCACCGGTTTCAGGCTTCAAGCGCAGAACTTCATTTTGGAGGATCTCGGCGCCAAGGCTTGAGGCACAATAGCAGAACAACAGCATTACAAACAGCAACAGCAACCAAGCAACCAGCCGACCGCCAAAAATGCCAACCAATCACCCAAACGGTCAACCAGCCAAACAGTCAACCAGGCAACCAGCCAACGAACTAACAACACGTACAAACGGACAGCGACAGAAAAAGGCAGCCACAGCAACAAGACCAACCACAACAGCAACATTGCCCAGCTAAAAGCATTTATCGGGGTTGGCCGATACGAAGCAACCTGCTAACGACCCGACCTCGATTGGCTTTTCGCAGAGGTACAAGGAGGAAAGGTAGCTAGCATACATATCCAAAGGTGTGAATGAACGAGACTGTTCTACTGCTGAAGCTTAAGGGAATAATTTGGGGGTTTGGCCAAGGACTTCGGGGCTCACGACTTTCTGCCCTACGGTTTGCAACGGGGACTTCGGCAACTCGTGTCGTGCCTGGGAGACCTTCCTGATACTGTTGAGATCCTCAAAACTACGGTTGATGATATAAATCCTGCATGACCCATAACACGTAATGTGCCATAATTCCCATAGTTTAGGGTCCTTAAGGTCATGCAGGATTTATATCCCAAAACCCTAAACCCTAAACCCCTATAGATCCCTTAAAGGAAGCCCTTAAAGGTACCCCTATAGATCTCTTTAAAGGAGCCCTTGGGATTTATATCATCAACGGTAGGATTTCTGAGACCCCGAAGAACCAAGGGCTCCTTTTTGGGAGGTTCCCGGCCTCGCCAAGGAGATATCAAGATCTGTTTCGTAACTCGAGGGTCCTTATTAGGGATCCTTAAAAGGGGTCCTTAAAGGGATCTATAGGGTTCTATAAGGGGATCCTTAAAAGGGGTAAAAGGAAATACACGGGTTTAAGATGTGGGTAGTTGTCAATTATGGCCCCTTTCTGGGCACCTTAAACATTAGGTATTATTAGGTGCCGTATTGAAAAAAGGACCCAAACAGGGAGCCTGATGTTGACAACCGCCCACGTAGGGTTTTGGCGTGAGTTGTTGGGTGCATGATTTACGGGTTACGGCTTCATAGTGCCGTGGTCTTTGCATGTTTGGATGGTAAGCGGTTGTGTGTCTCTTTTGCTTCGGGGGGGTTGTCAGGGTCTAGGGCTTTCTGATCAAGGAAGCCCTAAACATGCATAATTCGTATGTAATACTGACAGTACTGATAGTAGTGATAATGTTCATATTTATAGGAAGATCAAGAAAATGACTAACTTGTCATATGTATGTGTGTATATCTATATATATGTATATAGTACACCTTTAAACATAGATATGTGTATAAGATGGGCCCCAAAGCTGATTTCCATGCCAAGTGGCATTGCTCACAGGTTCACCGGCTACAACAGATACTGTTGGGCCAGATGCTCAGGGCTTATAGGGTTTAGGGATTTTGAGGCTTAGGGTCCACTTCCCTTGCAGATCCCCAAACCCTAAACCCAAAACCCCTAAACCCTAAACCCCGTAAACCCCTAAACCCCTAAACCCTAATCCCTGTGGAAGGGTGCAAAATGACAGCAGCGCGCCAATCTTGCCGTTCCAGGGTGTTCGATTCGCTCTTCTCGTGGTTGCATTGTTTGGCTCTCTTGAACTTGGGGTTAAGATGGAGTTCTTTCCCACTATTCACGGGGGTTGCAGTTCCTCGCCATCTGGGCGTCTGGTGTGCAGTAGGGCTTGTGGTAAGGGTCTGGTGAGTGTGTACAGGGCTCCGTAAGAAGGTCGGTGAGTGCACATTTTGAGTTTTAGTCCTTGTGCGATGCAAACCCTATACCAACTTAACCCTGGACCCTACCTCTGCAGAACAGAATCTAACCAAAAGATTAGGCACTTCAACAAAGGTTGGGTAGGGTATGACATGGAATGGTATCCTACCTGAACCCCGAAGACTATTGAGGACTTGAATAAGGAATAACAAGGAACCTTCAAAAGGTAGGTTATCAGGGTCTAGGTAAGCCCCCACGCCCAGACCTTCCAAAATCCTTTAATTAAGGAATATACCTTACATCATATTAGGGATCCCATTATAATTCTGGGAGTATTCCTTAGAAGGGGCCCCCACCCTGTAATGGTGGTATAGTAGGAATATAATAGGGCCCTAGTATAACCCTTATCTAAAATATTCCTTATTTAAGGGATTTTGGAAGATCTGGGAGGTGGGAAGCCTTCTACCTGCACCTACCAAACAAGACTATAACCTCCATCCCCAGAGACTCCAATACCCCTTAATTAAGGAAGATACCTTAAGTTATAGTAGGATCCTTAATATGACTTAAGGGTTTAGGGTTTACGGTTTAGTGGCATGTTCCTTATTTAAGGGATTTTGGAGTCTCTGGGTCGCCCACACAGAAATCAGAAAGTGTGATAGACTTTGCACTGCATCTCAAAATCCTAAACCCTGAACCCCTGAACCCTAAAGCCCAAGTTCGAGCAGGCCGCTTTGGCTCATGGTTTAGCTAAATTTAACAACAGGGAAGGAACATAAACAAGCCCATAAATCAATGAATAAATACGTAAACGAATATACCTATGTATGCATATATATATATATGCGATGTATTTTGATACAACTATGCAAATGGAGGGGTCTGAATCGTTGGTCAACATCTTCTCATTATATTTCCCATGAAATTCAAAAACCATCCCACACCCTTGTCCAACTATCAACGCCTCTACACAAAGCCTCGTAACAACAAAACCTTAGAACTCTTATGATAAGCCTTACTTGAGGCCCAGGGGACTTGGTAGCTCGGTGAAAAGCAGGGTGATCATTGGGGGTAACACCATTTAGGCTACTTATAACTCCATACTTACAACCGACTTACTAAGTCCCGTGCAACTCTAAGCAAGGTCCAGGGTTGACCTGTAGCCGGAAAGACCTACCTTTTAAGGGTTCTTTATCATGATTTCTATATATATATATATATATTGTATATATACGGTTCCTTATCCATGTAGATCTTTTGGGCCACGGTTAGGGCCAAGGGTTTAGAGTTGAGGGTTTAGGGTTTAATGCCATTTAGGGTACTTATAACTCTACTTCGTCCTCTGTCCAGGGTTTAGGATTTCGGGTCAAGGATTCAGGGTTTGGGGGTTGCGATATCAGGGCCCCCTATTGTCGGCAACTCCAATTTAGGGTTCAGGGTTACACCGTATTAATGCCCCTACGTAAAATCCTTATAATAGCCCTTATAGTAGTCCTTATGGACTCCAGTAAACGAATCCTATTCGGGGTTCAGGGTTATTCCGTCCAGGGGCTTGTCGCAACCTACTCCTTCATGGGGCTGCTCATTGCCCAGGCATCGAAGCTCTTGGGATTTAAGTTCACCTAAGGGTCCATGTACCGAAATAGGCTTCCTTGAGGGGTTCCTTTGAAGGTCCTGTAAGAGTTTAGGGGGCTAGAGGATCCATGTGCCGAAATGGTTTAGGGTTTAGGGTATAGGGTTTAGGGTTTAGGGTTTGGCTCAATGTACCTGTATAGGGAGTGCTTTAAGGCCAAAAAGTACAGCCTATTTGGCTACATGGACGCTTAGGGTTAAGCACCGCTGCAGGCACAGACTCCCCTAATGTTGGTAGAGGAGTAATCTATTAGGTGTTGGTTTTTGAGTGTGCGGGGTAGCGGTCCCGCAAATACCGTGTTGGGGTTCAAGTTTGCAGTGTTGGGTGCGCGAGGGTGTTTAAGTCGGCAATGGCATTTGGGCCCGGGATTCGTTGAAGGTGTTAGTTGGTCGCGAAAAGGATGTGCAAGGCCGGCAGGCCTCCTATAGCTCGCGGCTGCTTTCCCTTAGAAGGTTCAGGGGGCACAGCACTACCTGGCCCTAAGTGCCCGTGTCCTCATAGAGTACATACTTTGGTCGAAATGTAGTAACTATAATTCTAGGTATTTTTTGGCCATGCAAAGCTTATCCTATCTGGGCACATGGACCCTCAGGCTGGACTGCAATCGCAAGCTGCTATTTCCCATTTGCAAAGCCGCTTGTTGACCTGGACTCCGATTTACTTCGGGGGCGGGGCTAAGGTTAGGGTTTATGGTTTAGGGATCTTACATCTTTGATTGGACAGGTCGACCACAGCCAAGAAGTCAAGCCGTCGTATTCCTCTCCTACGACATTTGCTGCAACGGTACAAAAATCCATGCAGCAACGGCGGCCGCAGGTTTTCGCTGGCTGAAACTCTGGTTCAGTTGCCGCATGCCTCCGCTTTAAACAGGCCTGCTATGTTCGGCACGTGAGGGCCAATGTATATACATGTATATACCATATAGGCGCATACAGTCGTCAAGTGCGATTTCGCAGCACATCGGGTGACTGTCTTTCGCGCACTTAGACTTTCTGCCCGTTTCGGGGTTCAACTGATAGCATTTGGAATTCAGGCTTGATGGGTAGGCTTTATACGGCCAAGGGCTTTGGGACTAGCCCCCGCAAACAATTCGCCCAGGGATCCTGAACCATAAATCCTACATCCGCAAGAACTGAGCCTTCACTACAACTTTCGAAGCAGGAAGCGCCGGCAGCGGAATCCTAGCGTCCATGTACTCAGATATCATATACTTTACCCTAAGGCTCCTAGGAGGGTCTTGGGCTTTCTGGGGGAGGGTTTCGGCTTTGGGGGGTAGGGTCCGGGATCTAACTACAAGGGTCCGGGAGCCTTAAGGTAATCCTAAACCCTAAACCGCACAGTCGCCCTTCCCTAGAGGCTCATCGCCGACCCCCCTTTTTTAGGGTACCTTGTTTTATGGTTAGGATCTGCTAGGTAGAACCCTAAATAAACCCTTAACCCTTATAAACCCTAAACCCTGAACCCTAAACCGTAGAATATTCGGTACCTGAAAAACCACGGGGTAGGGCATGAGCCTCTAGCTGCTCAGGAGCTTAAAGCACACCTTAAGGACGAAATGAACCCTAAAAGGGTTTAAGGTTCATATACCATATAGGGATTCATAGTATATGGGTACATGGCCCCCTACTTTTAAGGGTCATTTGGTCTTTCAGGCATACTATTTTTGTTGGTACGTAGAGCCTTATCGCCTTAAGCCTCAACCCGATAAAGGAAGCCTATAAAGGAACCCTATAAAGGAGCCCTATACCCTTAAAGGAACCTTATGAAGCAACCCTATAAAGGAGCCCTATACCCTTAAAGGAACCTTTATACCCTATACCCTTAAAGGAACCTTATAAAGGAACCCTATAAAGGAGCCCTATACCCTTAAAGGAACCTTTATACCCTATACCCTTAAAGGAACCTTATAAAGGAACCCTATAAAGGAGCCCTATACCCTTAAAGGAACCTTTATACCCTATACCCTTAAAGGAACCTTATAAAGGAACCCTATAAAGGAGCCCTATACCCTTAAAGGAACCTTTATACCCTATACCCTTAAAGGAACCTTATAAAGGAACCCTATAAAGGAGCCCTATACCCTTAAAGGAACCTTTATACCCTATACCCTTAAAGGAACCTTATAAAGGAACCCTATAAAGGAGCCCTATACCCTTAAAGGAACCTTTATACCCTATACCCTTAAAGGAACCTTATAAAGGAACCCTATAAAGGAGCCCTATACCCTTAAAGGAACCTTTATACCCTATACCCTTAAAGGAACCTTATAAAGGAACCCTATAAAGGAGCCCTATACCCTTAAAGGAACCTTTATACCCTATACCCTTAAAGGAACCTTATAAAGGAACCCTATAAAGGAGCCCTATACCCTTAAAGGAACCTTTATACCCTATACCCTTAAAGGAACCTTATAAAGGAACCCTATAAAGGAGCCCTATACCCTTAAAGGAACCTTTATACCCTATACCCTTAAAGGAACCTTATAAAGGAACCCTATAAAGGAGCCCTATACCCTTAAAGGAACCTTTATACCCTATACCCTTAAAGGAACCTTATAAAGGAACCCTTGTAGACATGTGGACCCCAAAGGGGCCGACGGGTCCCTGCCTGGTTCCGCTTGGTTTGGTTGTTTTGAGTTGGTTTTTGCCGGCGCTACCTGAGTTAGTCCTGAAAGACCAAATGACCCTTAAAAGTAGGGGCCATGTACCCATATACTATGAATCCCTATATGGTATATGAACCTTAAGCCCTTTTAGGGTCCATTTCGTCCTTAAGGGTAGTCGTGCTCTTGAATTCGGACAGGTGGTTTAGGCTTTCCCTGGACCCTATAAAACCTCACTTTTTAAGATTCCCTCAGATGATTTCTTTATATTTTAAGTCCTTAAAGAGGTAGGTTATTTGGGGTTTAGGGCCCTAAGGTTTAGCAGGCCTTACAGGAACCATTTCAGGGGACGGTTTAGGGTTTAGGGCCCGAAACCCTAAACCCTTAGTGTTTAGGGATAAGACCAGCCAGGTGATGAAGTACTTGGACAGCATCGTCAAGCTCTACATTTCTGGGCTTGGGCCCCAAAGCTTTAGGGTTTAGGGTGTAGCCCTAACCCAATCCCAAATCAAACCCTAAACCCAACCCTCAACCCCTAAACCTGCAAACCCTATGCCGCAAGCCCCTGAACCCTTAAGCCCTGCCCCCCAAGTCCTAACCATAATCCCGCAGTCCCAAGCTCCAAATCCTAAACTCCAAGCCCTTCAAGGTGATCCCAGAGAGCGCAATACAGCATAGCCAAGGGAATGATGAACAAAGGTTCCGGGGCTTCAACACTGGGTTTTCGGAAGTTCTATTTGGTGCTGAGTGGGTTCAAGAGGAGAAAAATATACATATATATATATGCATGCATATAATATGCATATGGAATCATATATCAGAACCTCTCCTTGTTTCTGGTGCTGCTTTGAGATGATTCTTAGATGGAGCAAGTTTGGGGTCGACATACGGGGCTCTATGTGGCTGTCATGACTTTTAGAAGGGTTTGAGCGGTGTATGGGCTTTATAGGGTGTATGTACAGGGCTCACTAATTTTGACAGAGTTCTGCGGTGTGGCAGAAAGCTGCGAAGCTAGACTAGCGCGGGCTGCTGCTACCGTTTATTTACAGCTCTACATGTCGTACGTGGTCAAGATACTTAGTAAGTACTACACACCATAACTTGACTTAGTAGAAGACATAGTTAACTTTCTGAACTATCTGAACACTAATCCCATGGAAAAGACGGTCTACCCTAAACCCTGCTTTCCTAAAGCCCAAACCTTGCTGGCCGAAACCCTAAGGCCCTCAGCGCTCTACCCACGGGTAAAAAAGGGAAGTAACCTAATTACCTTTTAAGGACTCAAATAAAGAAAGTCTACCAGGGAACCTTAACAAGGAAGGTTATATAGGGTCCACGAAAGTCTTTTCTAGTATTCAGGCTTTCGGGGCCCAGGGATTCACGGCTTTAGGGCTGTATTTGAGGTTCTGCGTTTGGAGTCTGTTCCAAAAAGTTTTTTCTCCTGTGGTCCTGCTCACGAACATAGGAGAGGATAGTTACGAGATTTCTGTCAGCTTGGTTCCCAGTTGCAAATCGTCTTTAGCGCTCTCGTCACTTGTCAGTAGCATTTCCGTTGTGTCGCATCCCGCGAAAAACGAAGCACATTTGGGATTCAAGGTTTCGGGGTGCAGGATTTGAGGACTATGGCTCAAGGCCACAATGATGGATTTCAAGCCCAAGGTGTGCTCAAAGCAGAACCCAAATATAAATTGCAGACCCTAGATAAGCTCTTAAGGGTTTAGGGGTTTAGGGTTTAGGGGTTTAGGGTTTAGTGGTTCAGGGTTTAGGGAAGACTGCCCAGGTGCTCCATGTACGTGTCTGCAGCTCTGTCCTGGATCATTTTCGGACCGCCCGTCCTGGTTGACTTAGATCCCCAATACCCAACCTTTAAACTTTCTGGGTTCTTAAAGTTTAGTAGGAATCGGAAAGTCTAACCTTCCATTTCTGCGGCTTATTGGGGTTGTAAGTTGATCTGGCTTCACTTTTGGCAGACCTCGGGATCGAAAAAGCTACTGCTTTCGGGGGTTAGACCCTGCAATAGGGTAATATCCTACTATTTTGTAGGGTTTGCGGATACAGGGATGCAGCATCGATGGGGTGTGGAAGAGCAGCAGCAGCAGCAGCAGCAGCAGCAGCAGCAGCAGCACGAGCAGTAGGGGAGAGAGTAAGTAAGACAAACACATCATATCTCGCCTCAAGCTTTCAGCATCTAGTGCTGTTGAAGAGAACACTGCTCACGCTGACGGCATGCTGAGCTTTGGTGCCCCAGCACAGTCTACAGGAGTGATGCCCTCTTTAAAGTAAAAGCCAGAAAGTTGGAATATGATTATCCTAACCCTTCTATGGTAAATTATAGGGTATCCTACCATGAAACCATATTCCAACTTTCTGGAGTTCCCTTTAGCCCTGCCAGGATACTTACCCACCACGAACTTTGTGATGGGGATGATATTGGTCACCATTGCCATGGTCCCGGGCTCAGTTTTGCTTTGGCCCCGTTTAAACCTACTATTTTGTCGAGTTTGGGGAGTTTGGGGCTAAAGGTTAGGATTTCAGGTGTTCCGGTTTAAGGTTTTGGGCTTGAGGAGTTCATCGGGAATCGGGCACGTTGCTGCTTCTGCCCCTGTAGTAGCTTTTTTTGCTGATTCAACTGCGCTTATGGAAACCCTAAACCTTAAACCCTAAGGCCCGTTGACATGCACAGCAAGCTTTAAACCGAAAGGGAACTCCAGAAAGTTGGAATATGGTTTCAGGGTAGGATACCTCATAATTTACCATAAAGGATCTAGGATAATCATATTCCAACTTTCTGGCTTTTACTTGAAACCCTAAGGCCGACCTTCACTGCTAGGCGGAAAAAGGTGCTCAAAATCAAAGCCTACCTTAAGGACGAAATGAACCCTAAAAGGGTTTAAGGTTCATATACCATATAGGGATTCATAGTATATGGGTACATGGCCCCCTACTTTTAAGGGTCATTTGGTCTTTCAGGTAAGGCCCATTCACAGGCACAGCGCAAGGAGCCAGGAGACGAACCTTTGGAGCATTGGGAGTGTCTGTTTGGCACTTTTGGCCCTCCTCTGGCTGGTGCTTCGTAGGGAGTGGGGGAATGGATCCCGATAGTAGCCCCTATACCCAATAATAGTCTCTATAATCCACTCCCCGCAGTTCCCTACAAAGAACCAGACAGTGGAGGCAGGCTTCATGGAATCCTCGGCTATGCATGTGAACGACATGTGGTTTAGGGTTTAGGGTTTGGGTTTAGGGTTCAGGGTGTATCGGGGCACCCTGTCCATGGAATGCTCAGAGCCGCAGCTTTGAACGACCTTCGATCCCAAGCTGCGTATCTGACAGAGGCAGCGACCTGGCCGTCAAGCTTACTATAGGAGCGTCTAAACAATAACTATTGAGTATAGTATAGTGGGCAACCAAACCCTATTCTATGTTTTTAAAGGACCCTACAGGTCACTGGTGGTCGCCGTTACGTGGATGTTTACATTGCGTCCCGTTGAATATTCTACGACAGCCCTCTGCGAGTATGTCGGCACGCCAGCCTACACCGTATGTCATGAACTCTGCTTTTGCATTCATTGTTTTCCAAGCCCTCAAGCCGCGATTGGATACTGTGTGGAAGGAGGTGTCTGTTTCGACTTTATTACTACTGGAACGCGCAAGGAATGCAGTTGAGTGCATAGGGCATAGGGCATACTTCACCAAGTCTGGCATCGGTTCCTTGAGGGGGTCGAGGGTAAAGCCAGCACCCCCTGTCCCCAGGTAGCCCTAAAGCCATACTGCTGTTGATATAAATCCTGCATTACCAGGACCCTAAACTGTCGGAATTCTGGTAAATTCCTTACATTATAATGGGTAATGCAGGATTTATATCCCTAAACCCTAAAAAACCCTATAGATCCCTCAAAGGAATCCCTTAAAGGTATCCTTATAGCTCCCTTTATAGGAACCCCAGGATTTATATCATCAGCCGTAGCTGTTGTTTTAGGGCCAGCGCCCTTTTTCCGAAAAGGTCATCTACAACTTGGAGCAGCTGCTCCCGAAGGGCAAGAAGCAGTGAATCTTTGGGCTTAAGGGTTTACGGTTTGAAGGGGTACAAGGTTAAGGGCTAAAGCCCTAAGCCCTAAACCCCTATGGTACCCTTGTAGAACTCTTGTAGGAACCCTTAAAAGGAACCCTATTTGGGTACATGCCTGCTTCGGGTAGAATCCTCGGAGCCAGACACCCCTAAATCGCACACTGCAGTCCTTAACGACCCTAAGGCTCCATGTAACCTTGTAGTATATACTTAGGCCTTAAAGTATCTATATAGGGACGCCTTGAAGGCTTAAGTATCTACTATAAAGGTACATGAAGCCTTTGGGCTTCAGGATCCCTCCAGAAACAGTGGTGGGGGGGGGGGGGGGTTCTGATGATGGGCTCAAAGGAAGTCCGTCACTTTAGGGTCCTGAGGTCTGATCCATGCCTGAAACATAGGGAGGTTTCCGAAACTAGGGGACCCTTATGTAGTACCCTGAATAGTAGGATGCTTTTTTGGGGGGACGGGGACCCCAGAATAAGCTACCCGTAATTTTCGGAAGCTCCTACACAGGGTTCAGGGTTTAATCAAGGTGCAGGGCCCATCTGTTGAAGCAACATGTCTGCATCTTCCTTGCATCTGCTAGGCTGAAGTCTTTGATTGTTGTTTTTGTGCGCGGTGTTTGGTGTGGTGTTCGACGTACTGTGCTTCACAACTTAGGCTGTAAGGTAGTGCGCTTAGGGTTTAGGACTCGTCCGCTACTAACTACCGGGAGGGTTTTGATAGGGTTTTGGGCAGTGTGAGAAGCTGGTATGCATTCAGGGAGCGCTCTGATTACAAGACCTTATTAGTGCTGTGGAGGACTATGCCCAATTCAACGAAATCAGGCTTCGTGAGGCACGTGCTAGACTTGCAAACCTTGGTCATGTTCGATGAGATCTGAAACCCTAGGCCATCCTACCCCCGAAACACCTACCTTTTTTGGGGTTCCTCAATATATGACTTATATAAAAAGTTGGGATATTCAGGGTTAAGTTGAAGCTGTGCATCCTGAAACCCTCGAGTTTCGAAGGTCCTCAGGATTTCCATCCATCGGTTCAACCTGCGGCCAGGGCTTCAGCAGAATCTGATGGGAAAAGAGCGTGTTGGTATGTATGTGGGCCGGAGTTGGTGAGTAGGGTTCATATGTTGCAACTTTTATCATTCCTAGTAAGCCTTACTAAGCCTCTTGACCCTCAAAGAAATCCCGAAGCTTTGAGCTACAATTCCCGGCATGAGAGTTTCAGTGTGTTGCGGCCGCGTCCTCGAGTTGATGCTTGAAGTTCCCCAGTTGTTCCAGGTCTTTTGTGCAAAGGCAGTTCAAGCTCAGATGTAAGTGTAAGGTTTACTATAGGGCCCTTAACAATTACCTATACGAATTTGGGTGTTCCTGATTAGTATAGTATAATGGCCCCCAGACCCTATGCTAATTATTAAGGATCCTACATTAGGCTCTTACATGCTTGGCTTATGCATTTAGGGATCAGGGTGCAACGTTCACGTCGGAGGTTCCGGACCCTGACTGACAGCACCAACACCTCATCAAGGAGAAGTCTTGCTTGGAGGGTAGCAGCTGCATAGTAGCGTTTTAAGTAAAGAACCTAGATCCCTACCTACGAGCCATGCCCGGGCTTGCTTAGAATCTGCTCTATGGAACATGAGGTACCCACCAAAAAGGGGGGCAGAGTATGATGAATCTGTTCTGTACTCCAGAAGAGGAGGTACCAACAAAAATATGGGCAGGGGATGACCCTACTTGGATGGGCAGTGGACCTAGTAAGTAGGTTATAAGTAGAGTTACAAGTACCCTAAATGGAGTTACCCCAACTATGACCCTACTTCCTACTTACTAAGTCCCCTGCCCCTCCAAGTAGACCCTAAAACCCTAAACCCCACAGATCCCTTTAAGGAACCCTATAGATCCCTTTAAGGGGCCCTTTAAGAGCCCCTACGTTTTTTCATACTTCTGTTGGGCCTTTCTGGCTGCAGCTTCTCCTTTGCAGCTTCTGGTTTCCCCAAGGCTCCGGGTACCCATGCAGTATATACTTAGGCCACTCTTAGGCCCACAAGTGCCTTTATATAAGAACCCCTTTAAGGCCTAAGTATGTACTACATGGGTATATGGAGCCTTAGGATCTGTAGGAGTGGGGAGTGCGACCGATGCTCGATCAACGACGACAAGTTGCGAGTGAATTTTTGGGAAACCATAGCAGAGCATATCAGTGTATAGTCTTTAGTAGAGTACAGTCTAGAGTCTAGGATAGTCTTGTATATCATACCATGGCATGGCACAGCATAATCGTGCAGTATACTGTAGTTTAGCGTGGCACACTTTTGTTTTTTTATTCCGACCCGACGCTACTCGTCTGTCCACGTCAGCTGCAACTCACATGCGAGCAGGTTAGACCAGGCCCATTGCATGCTGAGTCAGCGGCGTTGGCCAGACACAGTGCCAGCGACTGCTTAAGAGCAGGCGAAAACCAACAGCTTCAGGCCATTGTTGTTTGCTCCTTTGCTCCTTGTTCCATTGGCAGCGGGTCCACACGGCCAGAGGTAAATGGGTTTAAAGCGGTTTTTGAGACGGATGGTTGAGCACACGGCGGGCACATTGCATGCTGAGTCAGCGGCACTGGCCAGACGCACTGCCAGCGACTGCTTAAGAGCAGGAAAAACCAACAGCCTCAGGCATCGTTGTTTGCACCGTTGCCCATTGGGAACGGAGCCACATGGCATGAGGCAAATATACGGTTTAAAGCGGTTTGTGCATTGCTTGCTGAGTCAGCGGCACTGGCCAGACACAGTGCCAGCGACTGCTTAAGAGCAGGCAAAAACCAACAGCCTCAGGCATCGTTGCTTGCGCCGTTGTCCATTGGGAACGGAGCCACGCGGCCAGAGGTAAATGAGTTCAAAGTTCAAAGTGGTTTTTGAGACAGATGGCTGAGCACAGGACGGGCGCATTGCATGCTGAGTCAGCGGCACTGGCCAGATACAGTGCCAGCGACCGCTTAAGAGCAGGCAGAAACCAACAGCCTCAGGCATCGTTGCTTGCGCCGTTGTCCATTGGGAACGGAGCCACGCGGCCAGAGGTAAATGAGTTCAAAGTTCATAGTGGCTTTTGAGACAGATGGCTGAGCACAGGACGGGCGCATTGCATGCTGAGTCAGCGGCACTGGCCAGATACAGTGCCAGCGACCGCTTAAGAGCAGGCAAAAACCAACAGCCTCAGGCCATTGTTGTTTGCTCCTTGTTCCATTGGCAACGGGGCCACACGGCCGGAGGTAAATGGGTTTAATGCGGTTTTTGCGACGGATGTCTGAGCACAGGACGGGCGCATTGCATGCTGAGTCAGCGGCACTGGCCAGACACAGTGCCAGCGACTGCTTAAGAGCAGGCAAAAACCAACAGCCTCAGGCATCGTTGTTTGCGCCTTTGTCCAAAGGGAACAAGGCCACACGGCCAGAGGTAAATGGGTTCAAAGCGGTTACTGAGACAGAGGGCTGAGCACAGCACGGGCGCATTGCATGCTGAGTCAGCGGCACTGGCCAGACACAGTGCCAGCGACTGCTTAAGAGCAGGCAAAAAGCAACAGCCTCAGGCATTGCTGTTTGCGCCTTTGTCCAGTGGGAACAAGGCCACACGGCCAGAGGTAAATGGGTTCAAAGCGGTTATTGAGACAGAGGGCTGAGCACAGGACGGGCGCATTGCATGCTGAGTCAGCGGCACTGGCCAGACGCACTGCCAGCGACTGCTTAAGAGAAGGCAAAGACCAACAGCTTCAGGCATCGTTGCTTACCCTGTTGTCCATTCAAAACAGGGCCCCGCGGCCAGAGGTTGATTGCTTCAATCGCGTTGTTTGAGACTGATGATGGCTGTACACGAGAAAGGCACATTGCATGCTGAGTCAGCGGCACTGGCGAGACACAGTGCCAGCGACTGCTTAAGAGCAGGCAAAAACCAACAGCCTCAGGCATTGTTGTTTGCGCCTTTGTCCACTGGGAACAAGGCCACGCGGCCAGAGGTAAATGGGTTCAGAGCGGTTATTGAGACAGATGGCTGAGCTCAGGACGGGCGCATTGCATGCTGAGTCAGCGGCACTGGCAAGACACCGTGCTAGCGACCGCTTAAGAGCAGGCAAAAACCAACAGCCTCAGGCATCGTTGCTTGCGCCGTTGTCCATTGGGAACGGAGCCACGCGGCCAGAGGTAAATGAGTTCAAAGGTCAAAGTGGTTTTTGAGACAGATGGCTGAGCACAGGACGGGCGCATTGCATGCTGAGTCAGCGGCACTGGCCAGATACAGTGCCAGCGACCGCTTAAGAGCAGGCAGAAACCAACAGCCTCAGGCATCGTTGCTTGCGCCGTTGTCCATTGGGAACGGAGCCACGCGGCCAGAGGTAAATGAGTTCAAAGTTCATAGTGGTTTTTGAGACAGATGGCTGAGCACAGGACGGGCGCATTGCATGCTGAGTCAGCGGCACTGGCCAGATACAGTGCCAGCGACCGCTTAAGAGCAGGCAAAAACCAACAGCCTCAGGCCATTGTTGTTTGCTCCTTGTTCCATTGGCAACGGGGCCACACGGCCGGAGGTAAATGGGTTTAATGCGGTTTTTGCGACGGATGTCTGAGCACAGGACGGGCGCATTGCATGCTGAGTCAGCGGCACTGGCCAGACACAGTGCCAGCGACTGCTTAAGAGCAGGCAAAAAACAACAGCCTCAGGCATTGCTGTTTGCGCCTTTGTCCAGTGGGAACAAGGCCACACGGCCAGAGGTAAATGGGTTCAAAGCGGTTATTGAGACAGAGGGCTGAGCACAGGACGGGCGCATTGCATGCTGAGTCAGCGGCACTGGCCAGACGCACTGCCAGCGACTGCTTAAGAGAAGGCAAAGACCAACAGCTTCAGGCATCGTTGCTTACCCTGTTGTCCATTCAAAACAGGGCCCCGCGGCCAGAGGTTGATTGCTTCAATCGTGTTGTTTGAGACTGATGATGGCTGTACACGAG